TGTGTGCCTTGGCAGCCATAAACACAATCATTAGCCGGGTGCATCAGAGACAGGAAGCTGCAACATTTCAATTTCCTTTTACCTCCATTTTCACAGCATTCTAGTTTTAGTATGATTGAGAGGATTATGGGTGTGTGTCTTTGTGTACCTGTATACGCTCTTGCAGCTTGACTGTGTTTCTCTTGCTCTCTGCCAACCTCTCCAGGTGACTCTCCACCTCGGCCTCCGCCCTCTTCACTCTCTCTCGCAGGGCGCTGTGCATCCCCTTCTTCTCCTCTTCTTCCCTCTTTTCCCACCTTTGCCGCTCCTCCCTCCATTCTGTCTCCATCTTCTTCCTCGTTTCCTCTTGCTCCTCATTTAGATCGTTCAACTTTTGCTCCCATTGCTCCCTCTCTTCTTTCACCGCTCTCCTCTTCTCCTCGTCTGCTCGAACACTCTGATCCCTCAGCACTTTTACCTCCGCTAAGAGTGCTTTCATTCTTTCCGAATCCTCCCGCTTCTCCGTTTGTCTCTCTATCTTATTGTCCTCGTCTTTCCTCTGCCTCTGCTCCTCTTCCCGCTGTCTCTCCTCATCAGCTGCTTTCTGTAGCGCCTCACATTTGGCACCCATCTCTTGGATCTGCTCCATGGTCTTCTCGAGTTCTTTGCCCAACCGCAGGCTCTCCTCCTGAGCATCACTGATGTGGGCCTTGGCCTCCTGGAGCTCTTCCTCTGCAGCCTGGAGCCTCTCCTCAAACTTTTTTCTCAACTCTGCCTCAGTTTCTCGTCCCCTCTCCTCCGCCTGGATCCGAAAGCACTCAAAGTCTGCCTGTACCTGGAGGCGGAGTGGAAAATCTGTTACACTCTGCACTAACATTCAAAGTCACTGCCCTAAGAGTGTGCATCCTTAGTAGTTGGTTGGACAGCCTTCCTTTAGAACTGCTAGAATTAGTCAGTGCATTTGTTCAAATAAACTGTTTTTTAGTCACAACAACACTATGGAAATCTGTCAAACTCTTTCCTGTTAAGCCCCAAAGCCCCCCTCGGCGGGTCTCTTTTTTTTTCACGACACCGTGTCTCAGGGCATCTTAATATTTAAGAACCTATTAATGTGTTATACCAGATTAACGGGAATAATCTCAGCTAACTGACGATACAAACAATTTTTACCAAAACAAAACACAAGTCTCATAAGAAGCATCTAAATGACCCCTGAGCGAAAAAATGCAAACTGACATTGGCACAGAACTCAAGATAAAGATACCCTTATTACTTATCGTAGCTGCACATACAAGATATCCGATTAAAGCTGAGGTTCCACAGATTATTTAGGTATATAGTATCATCACTGAGCGATCCGAACTCGCGACAGGGGAAGCAAACACAGACATCACAACACGTACCTTTACGGAGCTTTTACGGGAGATCGTCTCCCCGTAGCTGTCAATCTGATCAAAAGACGTGTTCAATGGCATTAAAACGAGAAAACACGCGGCTGAATCGGTTAATCCATAGGTTGATAAAGTTTCTGTGGCTTTGAAGCAATTGTTTATAATCCATAATTCCATTTTTATGTAAAAATCGGAGAAAAAAAGTTAGCTGCTAATGGTAGCCACCAGAGTATGCAGCTTCCGGTTTTGGTCAGTCTCACTCCTGGTACACTGGTAACGTGTGTGTGTAGGACTTCCCCTCGATTCCATTGGCTCTAGCGGTTATAAAGAGATTTCATTGGTCAAAATTGAACGAAGGCGGCCAGAGATAGGTCAAATCCACCCAAATGACCCCAGAGGTGTTTTGTTTGTTGCTAAATCTGTCTAAAAAGGTCAAATATCACTTGTGTTGCATCAATCTTGATACAGGGTACTTATTATATGTTGTACTTTGGATTCCTAAAGCTTTTAGTCTACCTTACCATCATCCAAGGTTAGTTTTCACTATAAGTACAACATAAGTTTTGGACGGACACTATCATTTACAGTTTTTTACTATGTTAAATCTGAATTTTCTTTAAAATAAAAACACCTATATTGATTCTGACTTTTCTACATCCAACTCACAGGTTTATCATTACTTTGAGAACAAAGATTATTAATGTAACCCTTTTAGAAGTGAAGATATGGTCATTTGTTCTGGGAATGTAATTTTCGAGCCTGAAACCTGAAAAACAGGCTCAGGGCTAAACAGGTTTTAAAGAGTCTTTGGAAAATGTTCTTCCTATATTTGGAAGCTTTGAAATACAATTGTTACTGCATATCATTCAGCTTTCAGCAGGCACACTTTCATTCTTAATCCAGTTATAAAATGACAGAAATAGGTGTTTTTTATGGCAAAACAAGTAGACTGCCTCTAACTGTGCCCTGTCAAAAAATGTTTTTGTAAATATCCGAATTTTTGGTGAAATACAACTGTACGGCCTTAACAAGGTTATCGTTCTTTCTTATTGTATTTTTTGCCAAAGGAAGTCTTGTTATTAATTATTTCTACAGAAAAAAACCATCTAATAAACAAATATAGACAACCCCAAAACCCCATAGGGAAAATACGAGGAAGTAGGACTGGCCGTTAATTTGAGTTTAGAACAACTTCCTCAGTACCGCACTTTGTCTTATTATTTTTTGTTAGACGTAGGTCGCTCAGTAATGTAGCAATAACTAAGATTGGATTAGAAACAAACAAAAAAAGAACGTCTTCTCTTTGGACGCGGTAAGTTTTCTTTTCCAGGCGTGTAGTAGTTACGATATCGCAAAATGTTACGTAAAAACGGTAACTAACCGCTTAGCCCGAGGTTCACCAACTCCCAAGGACGTCAACGTGTCGGGACCCTTAACTTGGGGACCACCCTCCCGACGAAGACGGGGTTTTTGTGTTTCACAAAGACAATTCTGATTGATTGCGTATACTTCTGATGCTTGCTGAGCTACCGTCGGCTCTAGGCTACCTCTAAGAGAACATTGTTACCGACGACTGCTTCAGGTCCGGCATTTAAATTTCGGACGAGTACTAATGTTATGATTATAATTTTTCAGTGAATTCACATAAAAACAACCTTGTGAACTCCTGTAATAAGTCGAAAGAGAGAGTTCAACTGGACACACGAATGTAAAACCTAATTTTAGGAATGTAACGGTTCTTTAATCCTACCTCGCCCTTAATGGGAAGTACATACTTACTAAGGAGGTTACACAAGACTAAGACTAGTGTCTTTACCTGTTTAATCGATTCCAAGCAGGTTTATTTCGCGAGACAAGCTCCCGAGCAGGTACACTAAGACACTGTACTAATTTGAACTATTTTGTAAATAAATTTGTAATGACTTATAATTTATAACAAGTAGTAGTATCGAGGATTAATTTTCTAGACGTTGGGTTGTAAGATTGGTTCATTTTCGCCAATCTTTGGATTACTGCAGCAAACTACAACGTACAACTTGAATTTTCTTTTCCGGAATATAAAGTTATTTGGGAAGGACTCCAATTACAATCACTAAAAGACGAAGACCAGATGTCCCAAACGACATTAAGTGTCGCGGTAGGGCCGTCCCAACTTTGACGACTCAAGTTCCAAGGGTTGCGCCGGCACCCTGCCGCACGGCGATACAAATGTATCCATTAGGGACCGTTAATACTTATGGACTAGGAGACGACCTCCACCGTCCGACATACCGAGACGTGACCTAATCGTAAGTTACATACCTAAACGTTTCTACGACATTACGACATGTGTTTCGTAAGGTTTTATTTTACGACTGAAAATTAAAGTAACAACGTACTGCAGTTCTAAATGACAACCCTCTAACGTTGTTTTCAGACCGGCACGTGAATAACAAATGTGCCGCTGAAGCATGTGGAAGACTCTTACACGAACGAGAATACAGTAATTCGTTTATTGACTAAAAATCAAAAGATAGTTAGTAATTCTTGTCACCTTCGTCCAAGACTTCCGTTCAAACGTAAAGTCTGTTTTATCTGGTTTATAATATTTTCTGTAGACTTTCACAAGAATGGTTTCATCTAGTCTTCTAGTTAGGGGTAGTACAGACATTCTCACCATAGACTATTGACTTCCCGGTGTCTGTTATAATTTTCAAGTGTGTTGATTACATACGAGACCTCCGGCTTTGTTTCTGGTCACAGGAGACATACGGAGTC